GCCAATTTTTAAACCAGCCAAAACATTTTAAGTGAAAATAGTTGCACCAGCCAATCTTCAGTTTCTTTCCTGAAGTTTATTCTATATATTTAACTAGATGTCTATTGTAAGAGGATATAAGGCCACAAGCTAAAAATTAAGAAACGCAATATAGATGCTGATCAGGAAGCTATAGAAGAAAATTTAAACTACTAAATTTAAACTACTAATTTAAACTAAATGAAGAAATTTTATAAGCTTTTTTGCAAAGTTAAATTCAGTAAAAGGAATACAATAAGCATTTCAGAAATAAATATTTCTGAGTCTAGAGAAAATAGTAAAGCAATTGAATCCTATAGGATTGTCATATAGCTGAAGGATGTTGACTTCAGCCAGTCACACTAGCTGAGAATAAGCACAGGTAAAGGAAATGTACACTGTTCCACTTTGGACAGTACAGTGTTTGAGCCACCCCTTACAAAGTAGCTAAACTAATCAGTTTGAAATGTTTACATATAAGTATTCTAATAAAACAGACTAGTTTACCTTCTATATCTTTTACTTAACCACCAACACCATTGTTTTGCCCCTCAATATTGCAAACAGGGTACAGCCCACCCGTGTTACATCAGGACATACTGATGTCGCTGGTGGTTTGAATTTGCATTCCAGCCTCAGGAAGACCAGACCTGCGTCACCTGCGTGCGCCCAGGTGCCAGAAGAGAACTCGTGGCACTCAGCTACGTGAACACACATCTCTGCCTAGACAACTTCAGGAACAATTTTGCTACTTCAAAGAGTTGCAGGAATTTGCATATACGCGAAGAGCCTTGCTGTTGCCATGGCTCCCTCTTCTAAGGCTAGTCATCTCTCACAGCTGTGAGGCAGGAGATGGCAATGAGTCCATTCTTTTCCCCTGTGGAGCTAACTGTAACCCAACAATTAGTGAGCTTGAACAAGGTCCGGAAGAAATTTGCCCTTCAAAAGTGAGATCTGTTTTATCCAGAATAACACATGCAGTGGTACAAAGCCCAGTATATTATAAAGGCTGTAAACCAATTTATTATTTACACGTTCCTACAAAATGAGCAAGTAATTTCAGCCTACTGTCTGAGCATCACAAGCACACTACTGACACCACAACCACTGCTAGTACCTGTGCTAAAGCGTTCAGCGCAAAGATAAAAACCTTAAAACCCGTATTGAATGAACCAGAATTTTGTAGGCATTTTCAGCAGTAGTTAATTTTGCAGATTTTTATGTCAGAAATTATTTTGCCCTACTTAACATTATCTGTTACGGAGTGGGGAAGTGGCCAGCTTTCCTACTGTAGACTGAGTCTTTAAATAATACAGAAATATTTTTGAAATGGTATTCTTCATAGGTTGCGATAGCTACAGAGAAATAGAGCAAATTCATCTGTTGTAAAATCACTCTTCTGAACTGCACTGAAAACTTAATAATAGATAATATGTACATACTCGTGTGTGTGCATGCATGCAAGTATGCCTTATATATATTACATATATATAAAAATAGATGAATTACAATTTATTTTTAAAAAAAAGTCATTCTATCATAAGCAAAAGTTAATCTGTAGCATGGAACATTAGCCACAGGTCTCTAATTATTAAAATAATGTATATGATGGAGGAATTCTGATCAGTTTCTGTCCAGTCTTGGAGTTTCCACAACCGAAAGGAGTTTTTTTCACCTAAAGGAGCTCCTTTGTAAAATTTCCTGAAAGACTGACTAAGAATATTTATTTTGAAAAGGTTCTTTCTACAGTAAAAGGCTGAAGTTCCATTTATATAATAAAATACATCAAAGTTCATTATAGCCTCTGCGACGACAACCTGGGGTACTGACTGTCATATTTTTTTCAGCCTGAATGAAAATTCTGATTACTGCAATCCACTGCGGAAAGAGAATGACAATCATAGGCCTCCAGCAACAACACGGGAGGATAATCTATTGTTTGCTGTTGTCTCAAAGATGTAATGACTCTTATCTTTACACCAAATTGAAGAGAGAAGCTCATTCCAATTATATAAAACAATCTCACAAGCACTTCTACTTGATTCTAATTGTGAAGTAAAACACCCAGGTCAAGACATGTTATCCCAACTAATTATGCTTTAAACATATAGAACGATGCAACAGTCCACAGAAAGAGAAGATACTCATCAGTGTTGGGTTTATCTTACGTTAAAGCAGTACATTTACAGTACAATGCCTATTCTGGAAATTACAATGCCAGCCTTTTTCATTTTATAAAGCAGAAGCCAAGGGGAAAACACACTTTTGTTTTAATACACTTAAGTCTCTTTGATCCAACCTCTCCTATCCAGGCACTGATTTAAGATTGGCTAATTAATTCATATGAATGAAAAAAAAAAAAAAGCTCCTGAAGAGACTGAAAAGAGTATTGTTAAGCAAAGACTAATTCAGTTTAAGTAACATGGCAAACTTAGGCGATAATGCTTTCCACACACTGTTTCTCTTCACAGTCGTTTTTACCTGTAAAACTGAACGAAATTCCCTGTGTGCCATTTAGATCAAAATTATAGCAACACATGATTATTATACAAATTAGGTATCCTATTAATTGAACTACAGTCTTTAACTGACAGTCAAGGTAGTCTTCTCCAAGAAGAACTTCTCAAAGAACACTGAATATCACAAATTTCATATGATGATTAATTTAAACCGTGATGTTTAGACAATGGAAGAGTAGTATTCTCCAAACTTTACTGCAAACTATCTTGCAGCTGTGGGGCCTGATGCAAATCTGCCTGATTGCAAGGTGCTGCTCTCCTAGATTTTGCAGAGCAGAATCTGGATTCCCGCAACAAGTGTTTGGTGAAGAAGGGTACCAGGAGTATCCTGTGCCAGGGTAGGAGGCCAGAGTACTAGATGGGAGCTATCTGGGAAGAGGTAGTGGTGTGTGTTTAGAGGAGCATTTAAGAGTTGCCTAAGGATTTTCAGTGGGTTGGTGCTGTGGGAGGTAAAGTAAGGAGATGCTTGAGCAGAGTTAGCTTGGAGGGAGAGACTACCGAGGTTGGTGGGTCCTTACTTCATACTTTGTTTGCTTCATGCCAATCTTTCTCAGGAGAGACCTAAGCAAAAGCCACTTGGTATTACTGGTGAAGGTCACAGAAGATCGTTTACTAAGAGAAGGAAGGGATTTCAAGGAAGAGCTGAGGCAATGCACTACATTACTCTCCATTGCTTTTGCACTCTGTCAAAAGATATTGAACACGTATCTTTGTGGGTGATTGGATCTTTGCAAAACAAACCGTAATTGCAATTTATTTTCTCCTTTCTTTGAAGCTGTGCCCACAACTGTTTAATCTTAAAGACTGACAGGCACATGGCCAAAGCCCGACTTCTCACTCCTTCTGGGACAGATTGTTGATATAGGCAGTGTATAATGCCATACAATTACAGCAATATATAACGCTGTATAATTCAGAAAGACAGAAAGACAAAGATTGATACTGGGAGTAAAAAAGTCTTTCAAGTCAAATTTGGCCAAAACTGAAGCCCATGCAGTGCAAAGAGCAAACCCTATGAGTTTGAAACAGAACAATAGAAAATACCATATATATAAAAGATATCTCAAAGTTTAGTAGCTTGATTGCATGCTCCAAATGTCTTATGGTTACAATAGATTATAGTCAATATAAATATCTATATTACAATTTAGTAAGAAATTAGGCTAATCAGAAGTTAGACATGTGAGCAAATACCACTCCTCAAAACCAAAGGCCAAACTTTAGCCAAACTAGCCAAAATCTAGTAAAGCAAAAAAATACACTTTCTTTTTGTTTTACAGATTTTTTTTTTTGCTATTAAAAAAAAAAAAAGAAAAATTCAGAATTATTTAGGAAACACTTTCATTTATGAAGAAAAAGCCATTTTTCATCTGAAACTGTATACAAACAAAATTTCAAATAGTTTCAGAATTGTTGCCAAGAAATTATTACACTGTGAAGGGAAATTTTTTGAGATAGGGACATAAAATGTAGTAGATTCAATATTGTAACTCTAGGCTAATCTCTTTCTGAGCTGTAAAAATGGTTACCAGTTCTCTTAGGTGTATGCAGAAAAATAAAGCTTACACTCTAAGGTTTTCAGTTTAAGCCCCAAGCCTCAATTATGACCCAAATTCTTCAGCATGAAAGCTCAAGATTTAAATCTCTCTATAATCAGTTCTTATTACTTCTGACCAATTTAATTACAAAGTATTTTGTGCAGCCGTTAAACAATCATTAGAGGTGTCCTCTTACTTAATCTTTTATAGGGAGTTAGAAGGCTCTTACCATAACGACACTGTAGTCAGTACAATTATTTTAATTTATACGCTGCTCTAGACTATAATATTACTAATGAATAAGGAATATTCTCGCAACAGTAATTCATGAATCTTCCATAGATTAAAGTATTTTGTAAGCAGCTTTCAAAATTGGCTTTTATGACTATGTCATGCAAAATCTGTTTTCTCTCACAGAGGATAATTGAATAATAGTGGTATTTTTTTTGACCTTTTGAAGAAGCAAGATAACTTGGACTGTCAAACCAACTCCATAACACACATCAAACCATGCTTTTTAATAAAAACATCATTATTTTTCTTCCAGCTATACTTACTGCAATGCGTCTTACTTTACTCGCACTTTATTTGGTTCTGCACTCAGAGGATCAGCTTTGTTAGCGGGTTTATATCAGGGAATTCAGTCAAGTCATTGCAGGCATGAGTCTGACCTACTGAAAAACAATAACTGTTTTCTATTTACTTTTCTCAGGGTCTCTTCGTGAACTTTTGAAAAACTGTGCTTGATCCTAGAGCAACTAGAGGGCCTATCCTTCCTAACCAATACTAAAGGACTTCTCTCTATTCCAGGCAGCGTGGTCTTAAGGACTGAGAAAGCTAAGAACAACAAAAACGGCTACCCTTTTGGACTACATTTTAGCATCTTCACTCTGGTCGGTGTGGACTGTGGGAAAAAGCGTCTTACCATCACTGTTGACGCAGACGACAACAGGAACCTGCGTTCCAGGGCCACATGTCTTCTCATTGTCGGGAATGCACTCCTCCAGCCCCATGATTTTCCAGTCGTAGCAGGAGGGCTCTTCACAGGGGATGGCTTCCAGCAGGTGAGGGCAGTTTCCCGTTCCTCCTGTAGGCTCATTGGTGATGCGCCGTTTCCTTAGCTTAAAGCCTGAAATATCCATGAAAATACAAAGGGCAGAATAATTCAATTCTAAAATGCGAAGTGAAGAGATTTTTATCTGTCTGCACCTGAGTGAACAGTTCTGCTTCTCTTCTGTGTAAAAGGTACCACACACTCAGTGCAACACTGCATTTTAGATAATTCGGTAGAAGAACTCATTAAAGAAGGAAGAGAGGTAAAACTTAACAAGACCATCAAAAGTTTTGAGCTTATTCAGTAAGCTTTGCCTTAAACCCCTGTTTATCCTAGCCATACAAACTCCAGGAAGGAGACATTTCCTGTGCATCACTCTTGCCAGATCCGTCTCATCTAACAAATCTTGACTAGATTGTTGGGTTGCCATTTCTCAAATATGTTGTTTGGTTTCTTCTTAGGTATCTTCCAACAGGGATGGATTATCAAGTGAAATCAGCTTATAATCACTCCCCTCCCCCCAAAAAATGTAAGGAAAAAAAGACTACATTGCCAGAAAAGGCAAAGCATGGAAATAATCCCAAGAAGCCCTATGAACAAATTTTCAGTAATTAACATCACAATATTCCCTTGCAAGCATTTACAAATTTCCTTAAGACTACCTAAGCTCATTTTAGATCGGAGAAACTGATGGGCCTTTATACACTGTGTCATCTGCCAGGTCAATGTCAGTCTCTAAGAGCAACCCTCTCTCTCACTTTCAGGATGACATGTTGAAAAAGCCAGACTAAATCTGTAGTCAGAACAACCTAACCAAACTGAATGGATTCAGGAAATAGTTTCTCATGTAATAATTTTCTATAGTTTCTGATATATCTGATCAGAATATTTTAACTTTGGCAAAGGTTTGTTTCTTTTCATATCTTCACAGTCTCTTTTGTTTTATCTGAATATTCAGGCAGGTTAGTAATACACAGATATTTTGTATAAAATACTACATATAACTCTTTAATTTCTACCAGGACACAAACTAAACAGAAGAGAGTTTTCAAACACATATGTGCAAGAATTGATTCTTTCTTTGAAGACGAGTCTCAGTTCAATTTTAATAAATATTACTTTAAAAATACATTTCCATGCATCTTTAATTGTTTTTTTCTAAATTGAAGAGGTCAGCCAAATTATGTCCAAATGATTTACTGAGCCTGCCACAAAAGGCTGATATAATTTCAAAAAAAGAACTCCAGTGTCTACTGCAACAAAGGAGGCAAATGATCCACAGTAAAGGCCCATTCCTGAAATATGTAGAGACTTGCTGCTAAAACTGGGAGTGCCTGTACAACTTTTACATCATTCTTTCTGAAGAACTGTCAATGCAATTATAAAATAATATAAAATATAAGAATTTCCAGATAAGAGGAAAACATTGGGAAAGTTCACAAAGAAAAGATCCCTGCTCATGTGTGCAGGAATAGACTTGCATAAAGTACATCCTAATACATTTCCATTGGGCAGGTGTCCAAATCAGTCTCACAAACCTAAACATTACCCCCGAAAATGTAGCAAATCTCTCAGTGATGGAACAGCAACAGAAATAACAGAGTACCTGACAGCTGTATTCAGAGAGACTTAATCCAATAGGCTTACACACTGCATTGCTTTTTCCTTCTTGAATTGATCAAGGTGAGACAGCATTGTAAAACTTGCATTATTGCTGCCCAGACTGAAGTGTAGCTAGCAGTATACCAGGAAGAAGAAACTAAGCTAAGGTGGTAATTACAGTTGCTCCTTCAAGTGGACGTATGTGGCTGCCCTTTCTTAGGAGTGTTTTCAATCAAGGAACCAAGCCTGTATTCTTAACTTTTGTCAGATAATCACACCGCAGCAATGACTAGGCCAGTCGTTCTCATTTACAGCCAGAGACCTACAGACTTCTTACATGAGGTCCTTGTCATAGTATTCTTGCTTTCCTATTTTGATGTCAGGTTACTACAATCTGTTCTGCATAGGAATGAACTGTACAACATGTGAAAATTGAAACCAGCACATGTCATCAGTAAAACAGTGTCACTTATCAACAGCGAATGGTCCCAGCTCTTTGCCAGAGCATGCTTTACGGTTTACTGGTGAATTCTTAAGCTATTACTGAACTGTAAATCCTTGAGTGACTTGGACACTATGCACCTCGAAGGCTGCTTCTGTCCTTCTTTCGAGACAGTGCCAGAATTGTGATTTGAACACATATACAAACTGTATCCCTTTCAGTTTGAGAGGAAGGCTTGAAACTGGAATTGATCTGTAATAACTCAAATTGACCTTGAGAGCCTAGTAAACAGCCTACATTTTTGCCAGCTTTTGTGGAGCAGTAATGCTAAATATAGTCCTAGTTCAATGACCTTTTTTTGATGCTCAGAGGCACTGGATATACCCTTCTTGGTAAAAAATTTAGTATGCTTCCATAGCCAGAGGTGACTAGTGACTTAGGAATATGAAATAATCACCATTAAAAGGCTTAGCTGAATTTTTACATACCCTTCTTGGCCTGAGGGTCATCACAGCTTTCATAGGTGCATGGTCCCCAGGCTGACCACGCCGAGGTCTCACACTCTGTAGGACAGGGGATATGGCACAGCTGGGAGGTGCTGGGAAGAGGTCCCGTACACAGCCTGCGGTCCACCGGCCTCGAGGCTGTCAAAACAAAGTCAACACATTTCTCACGTGTCACTGGTCACGATCCTCAGCTCTAAGTGGACAGAACCATCCTTCATTCAGAAAGGCTGCTATCTCATCATTTTAATCTGATGAAGTGATGGAAGAATGCCTGTCTTGAAAAAATGAAACAGAAGTCAGTTTACTCTCTGCATGAACGGAGCCAAATCTGATTGCGTCAGGAAGACTGTAGATATTGCAGCACCCTCTCGGACCTAGTCCTTTCATTTAATGGATAGATTATGTTATTAAAGCAGTTGTTCACATTGTGCTCTGTGTAAATTGATGCCTTGTTGTCTTATTATGTCTTCACTTAAGAAACTGAACAAAAAGCTGTATAAATCCCTTTGCTCCTATATGATACTATAACTTCAAAAGCCTGGTTAATTAATAATTAGAAAATTATTTTTAAGCTATAACCTGAAACACAGTTAAAATGATGACAAAATTTTGTTTTTTCTTTTACTCTAAAGACCTTCAAGTGCACACTCAGCAATAAGATCTGTGCAGTAGCAGTTTTAGTTCAAGAAAGGCTTTGGTTTAGATACATATATGGTTTGCATATAATATAAATATATATACATAATATATTTAAAATAATTAAAACTCTGCACAAGACAATTGATTTTTTCATTAAAGTATTATTAATCTATAAAGACACATGTGAAGGCAGATTCTTCTGTTCTTTAAGGATCAATAAGCCCTGGAACAGGCCAAAATCACCCTGCTTCTTCCATACTTTACTCTCTTGAATTCCCAGGTTACACAAATAATAGGACAACCCTATAAGGTGCCAGAGCAAGGCACAGAACTCTAAAACAAAATGTACCATTTCATTACAAACAAGATTTTAATTCTCTTTCATAATATAGGACTTGACAAAATATTAAGCAGAGAATTAAGCAGAGGATACCTGCTAGAAGGCTAAGTGAAGTCTGCCATATTCATTCACTTTGGTTGATTGAAGAAACATGCAATTTCTTAACTTAAAACACTTTCATCCTACTCCCTCAGCTTTTTTTCACAGGAGTTACCGCATTAATTTTCTGCCTCCGCTACAAATAATCTCTTTTGATGGAAAGAGCTCTCTGATGAAACATATTCTGAAATAAGTTCAGAATATGACAAAATATCCTTCTGAAAGATGAGATCAATAATCACAGATATGATGTTAAAGTAAACATCAGGTTGTTAAAGTATGGTCTCATTTTTAGATATGTGTGTGTCTTTCCATTCAGACTTTCTAAGTAGATGATCTTTCTAGTTACAGAATAAGCATTTAATTCTCACTTTTTAAGGGGAAAAGGGAATGAAAAATCGTCACCCTATTCTGGTTTCCCACGTTGCCTCCTTTGGCAAGGTTTTACACTGTGTTGCTCCACATAATGAAGGCATGAAGATGGCAGATAGTCATTCAACCTTACTGCCTCCAGCTCACCAACCTCAACACAAAATAATACAAGAACAAATATTCCAACATTTGCATAATGTTATGTTGGAATTAAATTTTATGACAGAACATTGAATCTTACAAGAAGTTTGACATGCGCACCTAATGTGCATGATAATCAACATAATATGCATATCTTGTGTAGAACATGGATATAAATAAACATAATTTGTCTGTAATTGAATTTGTGTTGAATAGTTTCTAATAAGAAAAGAAAAACAGTAAGTAATTGCTAATGGTACTTTTTTAACCTTGATTTAATCAGGGAATTGCCCAAGTGAGACAGTTGAAATTAAGGGTCAATTACACCCCTGACACGCAGCCTTGCTTCAGGGAACAAAGTGTTCTGAGGAATGCTGTGCTTCATCTCCAGCCTGCATCAGGATAAAGCACTTACCATCACACTAGTTCATGGGAGGTTACTCAGAAAAATAACAAAGACCTTTCATCAGGAAGCTTTAAATAGCAGATTTTCATATTACAGATGTTCCATATCTCAACCAGTTTTTTTTAAGAGTCTGCCAATAGAAGGTACTACTGTGCTACTGTCACAATCCTTTTGGCTTCAAGCTAAATTTGTGATGGTCCTGAAATTCTAAAATATGAGGAATTGTGACTTTGTTTGGCTTTAAAGAGGCTGACTTAAGTAATATGAATGCTATTCCAACTTTTTTTGAGGTATCTGTCTAGTAAGAATTCTAGGTCTTGTCAGCAAACATTGTTAAATAAACTTATCATGAAAACACCTACTGAAAATATCTGCATTTTCCATCACTTATTAGAGTCCAGGGAAAGAAAGAAGTGCTTTGGGGACAGATAAGTGGTATCAATAAATCTCTCAATATGCCAAAATATTTTTGAAATGCTGTTCTTAGAACATAAGTGATATACAAATGTCTGTTACCAGATATTTTATATATTACTTTTAAAACAAAAGAATTCAACAGTAGGACAGACAAGTTATATACCAGATCATTAAAAAATGTTTTCATCATTGAACACTTGGGGTGTATTTCACCCAGGATCACTCAGAATTCTTTCTTTGAGATGACAGCAAAATAAGAAAACTTAGCCTTGCCTGGGTATCTTATGAACATCTTGCTCCCATTCATTTAAATGGATTTCTTTCAGCATCAGAAAAGTATAAATGAGCTCAGCTTTTGCTGCTTATTTTTTAGCAAAGATGCTTTGAGAAAAGATGATGCTGGATGCAGAAATTTACAGTTTAAAACCTTGTCTTATCTCTGTCCTTTCATACCCTTTTGTAACAGCAATAAAGATTGTTCTTTATTCCTTGGCAGTGATGCTGAATGCTGATTAGACTGTGTGTAATACTACAAGCTCTGTGTGGAATTTGACCAAATTTGGGGCCAAAAATGGAAGGAAAAGTGAACACATTTTGATAATCTCTCTCTCTCCTTCAGTTTAACTAAAAAATTAGACTCAATTTTGAATGAGTTTCAGGTTTGGAGTAGTGACCTAAAAGCTAAAATGAGATTCAATCACTCTGTCCTCAAATCATCTACTATATTAGGAAATTTTAGCTGAATACATTTTATATGCTGGTAGAACACCTCCCCGAATGACTACATTTTAAAAAGAACTGAAAAGAAAAAACACAATTCTGTTCTTAAGCATTTGCTACATTTATCGAGGTCTCAACCTCACCATTCTTCTCCAGGAACCCTCAACAGAGTACTGCCCAGTAAAAACCAGGCTGGCAAAGAGAGCGAATTTATATGTGGCTGCATCAGCATAAGCAGACACAACTTTATATTCCTCCTTCTGGTCATTTGTCGCACTGGTTTCACAGCAAACAACAGAAGGAAATTTCTCCAACTAAAGTGCTCTCACTCAGAAAAAGCAAGAAAAACCCAAGTCCAAAACACATTATGACCAACAATGAAAGAATACATACTCTTCCCCCATTTTCTACAATGCTGAATGCTGCCATCAAAAGACAGCACATAATTCAGGACTTGATCCTCTAAGCAACTGCACAACTCCATGCAAGTAAGCAGTTCCGCTGTGTTTAACAGGGCAACAAATGCGTGTTTGCAGATGTAGAATAAATTTATGCCCATAAAAGAACTTTCCTCCCATCCTCATTCTACATCGAGGGCTTTAAAGGTACTTGGAAAAAGATGACACAATCTACCTCATAGGCTTACCGTGAGAGAAACTTCATGGCTAAACCAGTTAAATAGGTGAACAGAGATGAAACAGTTTAAGTTGGTGGCAAGTAAATGGCAGAATTACAGTGGCCTCCAGGAATCTTGATTGTCACCTGCCTAATTACTACACTCAATACTCCCCCTTCTTCCTCGAGTCTAAATTTATGAATTCTGATAGGAGATAATATAGACCTCAATACCATGAGGGATTCTGATGTAGCTAAGTATTAAAAGTTCAAATTTTTACTGGAGCCCTAACTTGGAGTTTTAAATCTACAAAAGGGACTGGAAATAGCAGCTGTGATGAACGCAACGAAGCGCTCAGAATCGAGAGGAAAATAAGTCACCTGCTCAAACGGTTCAGGAGTGGAGCAGGGAACTGTCCCAGCATCCTAGCTGGCTCATGAATGTCATTGGTTTGAGTTCAGGCCTGTCACTTTCAAACTGATCTGAAATTTCCTGAGAATGCACAAATCCGTTAAACTATTTCAGAGCTATATAAACATGTTAATTATACACATACAGCCAACGTAGTTCCCCCGAAAGGGACGTTGCCTCCTTTGCATGCTTTTGATTGAAAGGCCAGGTCAGAGGCCTTAATTTACCTACCTGTTATTTCAAAAGTGATCGATAGCAGAGGTGCAGCACTAGCCTTCGACTTGCTCTGCGACTGACTTTCTGAAATAACAGGGAAACGCCACCGTGAGTATATGAGAACGGAGGTCTTCAAAGCAGCCTTACCGAGACAGCATTCACTACCACCAACAGCAAACTACACTGAAATGAAGGCATTTCCCTACAGCTAAAACTGGCAGGTGTCTCCCCTAGCTTTCCCCCATCCTCAAATTACTCATAGTTTTCAAATGGCATTGTTTGTAGAGGCACTGATTTTATTGTTCGTAGGAGGGCCGGGAGAGCAGCGAATCCAAGATGGGAGGGGAGAGAGAGGGAGGATGAGTGGAGAAGCAGCTCTTCTGAAAATCTGTCCCCTAGTATGGAAACACCCCAGAGCTCCTTTTTAAACTAAGACCCACTTCACCCCTAGTTTGAGTTCTTGAAAAACTGTTCTCATGTTTATGCATCCAAAGACTAGTTACATTTTAATCAGCTTTCCCGGGCCTGCAGAGATTACCTCCTGATGGGCTCCGCGTATTCCTGTCACAGTCTGATAAGGGCAGATTTCACACCCGCCTAAGCCGGCGACACTTCACAGCCTACCAAAATCCTAATCGTCATTCTGAACAGTAAGCTGCCACTGATTTTATTGTTACGTCTCCGTAGCTGGGAGGTTTTACTCCTTTACTCTAAGGCAGGGGCATCTAAACTTTGTTCAGCAGAGGCGATTTAATAAAAGCCCTTGGGTGGAACGTGATTTGCATTAAACGAAGAGGCTTGAAAGCTTCTTCTTTAATAAATAGAGATGTAGGGCCCACGGAGCACACAAGTCACATCACACCCTACTGATCCAAGCAGTCACACTGAAATGGATGTCGGCATTAATATTCCCCACAAACTCTACCTCTACAGCAAGTCTGAGAGCACCTTTAACCCACAGCAGAAACCTCACTAGCCTACAGTTTGGTCAGCTCTGGTCTAAACGTTGTATTACACGTGACTTGTATAATGATGTCGCTTTTCCTGAAGTATGTGGCTGTATTTATCTTTTTTTTTTTTAATAATGATGTGTGTTTGTATGAAACAGCTACAGAAGAGGATAAAATTTAATTAACAAGCTAAATACGTTTAGCTTAATTCACTAATTTCTAAATCTATAGTGCTGCATTAGTATGCAGAAGTAGACATAACATAAAATACTCAAGTGTTGTTCTTAGTACGTATGTTACCAAACAAATTAAAGATTTTGTCTCCTAAGCTATTCTCTCTTTTCCTAAGAAGCTGAACAAGCTGTAACTGTGTCAGGGAATAATCTCTTCTCTCTTTCAGTTAAGGAAACAAACCCATGAATTTATATTGGCTTGAAGTCCTGAAAGCGACTTAAGAACTTGACCAAATCAATAAAAAAAAAAAAAAAATAAAAAAAAATCGATTCCTTGAGAATGAAATATAGCAATATTTTTACATATTTCTATACTGAGCTTACATGCCAGAATTGACATATTCCATCTGTACATATTCCACAGGTTCATCACCCAGCTGAAGGACACACAGGAAATTTACAGTAGAGGAAGGAACCGAAGCTAGGATTTCTGATCCGCCTTCTCATGCTCTTTCTTAATGAGAGACATCCTTCACATAACATTTTTCAGTAGATATTAAGAAACAGTAATTTGTAGCTAGGAACCAGTATTTGCAGCATAGAGAATGAAATCTCTGCTACTGCAATTAAGTATTTTCATCTGAACTAGAAAATAACAATAACCTGCAAGGTAAGAAGGCTTCATGACTGAAGACAATGGCTGTCAAGGAGCTCTGGAATGCTGAAGTGCTCTGATTTCACACTAATTCAATTGCAAGTGAATCAAATTTACCTTCTTTTTCCTTGAGGGTATTTAAATAGGAGAGGAGATTTTCATTAGCTTGCACGCAGTACATTTCCCGGGTTTGAATGCCACCTCCACACAATGCCGTCTGATTTCCTCGCCTCTTGTCCTGTTGGCTAAGGAGAGGATCGACACGGCATTCTGTCCACTCTGTGGTCCGCCAACCATACCTGGATCAAATTTGGTTAATTGGGTCTCTAGAAATCATAAAGGCATTTTACACAGCATTAAGTTATACGAGCTGAAACACTTTAATAGCTTTATTCATTTTCTAAAAGGCCTGAGCCCCACAATTTCTTGTACACAGAGATGCATTAAGTCTGATATTTTATGTGGGTGGAAACTTTTCCTCTATTATTTCACTTTTGAAATCATTACTTTTTAGGAAGATCTTTTCTGTTCAATTTCTGAAACATACTGCACATATAAATATTTTATTGGAGGGAAGAAAAACTTGATATACAGAGACATATAGTCTGTGTTCAGATAAGCTAACTTTCAAGATTGTGACTCTCGGCATTTGTTTAGAGCTAGACAATTTATATGAACCAAAGCCAAAATATCAAAGAAATGTGCACGCTGAGAAACATAAGAGCCAGAAAAGGAGAGGGAAAACACCACAACAACCCAACCCCCCAAGAACAAACCCAAAAGCCTCTTGTTCATCTTTGATAAGAGAGACAGAAGTTTCCTCTGAATATCAAGGTCAAACTATAATTGTATTTTTTTATTATTACTTCAGAAAAACCTTTCAGTAAGTTCCTTTTTCACTGTCAAGAGAAAGATGGCTCTGCAGTACTGAAGCATCCCTGCTGGGTACTGATGAATGATGAGAAGCTGTGAGCTTTCTAATCAGTGAATGCACAGGAAAGAAGATCTGTGACTCCCAGTTAAAACCCTAATCAGGATTATGAACCGCAAGAAATGCCACAGAATTCTCTACCCAACAAGTACTCCAAGGCTAAATCAAGCGAACGGCTTCCTAATGTGGCTGGAGATGGGGAAAGATGACATTTCAACTCTTAAATGAAAAATATGTGCCACAGCCAAAGATGCTTAATATCAAATGACATTTCTCCAGACCCTCTTCTCAGTCTGATAAAGAAACAGCACAGTTGGGACTTTAATATTAATCTCGATTAGTTGATAAGGATTACAACAATCTCTTGAATTGTAAACTGCTTGCTATCATTTCTCCTAAACTTTGAACAGGGTTAATTTACTTATTGTCACTGTCAGCCTCTCCCACTTTCCATTTGGGTCCTAGTCTTGCCTTTGTTGTGCTGAATACGAGTCTCACTAAAAACGTCTGGTTGCTAAACAGACATTTATCACCTCTTTCCTATGTTCAGCATTTTGTCTGCAAACAGACAAGTACTTCAGAAAACAATGATTTTTAAGATCACTGACAAATTAATACAATTAATTTATTATGGTCTTGACTGAGCCTGCATGTGCACAAATGTTCTCTTTTAAAAGTTAACACTAATGAAAAAATATGTATTTGTTATTTTTCCTGTAGAGGAGGAAGTGATTTCACTATAACAGCAGCTATTTGCAGACTTCAGGCTTTTAAGAAGAGCACTGAATAAGCAAAGGATAAAAAAAATAAAATCAAACCTATTATTTCTTTAATAATGATTTGGTTGATATTCCATCATCAGCCCTGTACGCTAAATTGAAATTTTTCATTTTAGTATAGGGAGAACTGAAATGAACCAACTTACGTAATGCACGGCGCCACACCATCTCCTTGAGAAACACACTGCTCTGTTTCTTCTAATTGCGGGCATTCACTTTCACTGCCGACAGGGAGCTGTTTAATGGTCCGCGATCTTGTACGATTCCCTTTAGGGGTTGTCATGTCAAAGCAGGTTTTGGAACAGGGGGTCCATTCTGACCACTCTGACACCTGGCATTCCTTTGTGATCACACAGGACTGGAATGTAATGGGCAACTTGTCTTGTTTGCAGAAGCTGTAATAAAAGCATTACAATTTTCAGCATACATATTCATAGACAGTCATGAACTCCTACAGAAAAGTGATGTCCATTGCAACACGCAAAGTCAGTAAACATTTGTAAAGCTGTTAAGTTCCAGTCCACACGTATTTGATCCCAAAAAGTCAGACAAAAGGGCTTTTGGTTAAAGTGACTCAAACTAGATACATAAGATTTGCTATAGTTAGAAATCACCAGTATTGTCATATCTGTGATCAAAATTAAAGTATAAATCTTCACACATATACAGAAGTACAAAAGAGGAAATAAATTAATCTTTCACAGCTTATCTTTTATTTTTAGGTATACTCAATTATTTTTCTTGGAACAAAAAGGAAGTGAAGGATCAATAACAGAGATGGCTATACAATGTTTTTGAAGAGAACCAAGTGCTCAGTGTCATCTTCTCCTCATTTCCAGACGACAAATTATTTAGAAATGCAATGTCGAATATATTGAATTCTTGGTCACTAATAATTTGCTTTGTTAACAGCTGGTATATTGCCACAGTGATGCCTCATAGTCTAAAAGGGGAACAATCTCTCCCTTAAAATAGAGCCTTCCCTGCTACAGTGAATCCGTAGCCTTAATTTCCTGTTCCTCATGAAGGCCATCATTTAATTTCCATTCCCCATCTGATTGCTTCATTCACATATTACATAGGTTGTCAGCAAGATTTTCTCCCTCTAAATGCCTCTGCATTTTTAAATGTTATATTCTAACTACAAACTAATGTTTCTACTTTAAAGCTTGATTCACAATAGGAAAATGAGCAATAGAAAAGCTAAACTACAATTAAAGTGATCATAACTTTAACTCCTTAATTATAATTACAACACAAATATATTTATCATGTCTGTTTTGGAATAAAATTCTGGCTCCTGAAGTAGTTAAACAGGCAGGAAAAAGATTTATTGGCACTGCAGATGGCACAATGAAACGCTCTGTTCAGTACCAGTCTTATAAACAACACAACAAAGGCTCATTTTTTTTCCTTTTAATAGAATACAAAATGATACAGAATAATGAATATTTACAACAATTTTGTTGCTATACAAAATTTTGCCCTATCCATTTATCCAACATCGTGTTGAGCTGCTATCAACAAAATTTTGTAATACTAGAACTAGGTATACTTGATGAGTCTAACAAGAGATTTAAAAACACGATAAATGAAAGTACTTCTATACACAAGAGGCAGAGCAATTCTACATCTTGCTAACAGAAGATCCTGGTTGTAGAGACAGACAGTGTCAGCAGTTCAGAAAGAGATTGGATGAATTTGTGGGCAATAGGTCTATACATGGATACTAAAATGACTAGGCAGTGATATACTAGTCACCATCCTAATACATTGACTTTGGATACTGGAGAAATACAAAGGGAATGGACTGCAAAAGGCAGACAGGCCTCATATGCTTGGTCTTTAAATAGCATCTCCCTTTACCACGACTGGAGACACTGCTGGGCTTGACAGACCATAGGGGATTACTCAGTACGAGATTTCTTATGTTCTTATTGTGTGAAAGGTGGGGGTGGTGGGGAAACCCTAACACATGATAGACAACATTTATTCTGCTTAAGGACAGAAACTACACCCTGTTTGGGGTGAAAGAAAGCTTTTGAGAAAACTGTTCTTTAATAATGGACTTTTTTCTCCTTCATGTAGCCCCATCTGGCACAGGACTACAGTACTCTCAAATTCAATATAGCAGTTTCTGTACCTTTGACAAAACATATAGACTCATTTATCCCACAAAGACACACATTTTAATGACTAGAGAAAAGATCTATTCCTTATAGATTCTAACATGGGCAGTATTTGCAAATCCTTCTGGAGAACAGATGACATATCATCACCTCCCAAATTCCTTTCCAATGTGATTCCTTTGAGAGCAGACAAAATCAACCTCTTCACTCATATTGTGACTGGGGCTGAGTTTAATTATAGACACATACTGCCAGGGAACATGCACAAAATTGCCACCACAAAGTAGCTTTGATGCGGAGTGAAGAGATCAATTAATGATGTGTAATACTCCATGGGCTTTGCATCTGTTTCAAAACTTGTTTGGGAGAAGTGTTACATGAGAAAGACTAATATTCATTCACAGAAGTTGTTTCACTAAAGAAATAAATAGTCTTTCTTCACTGAAGCTACCTTCAACCTGCCTGTATCCCTTAACTGTCAGGAACCCTAAAGGTATCCCTGGCTGTGACTGGCTGCAATTCCTGCACAGCTTCATGCAGAGGTTGTTTCCTTCCCTGATAAGGGAAACCTCCACTGCAACACAAAGAGTTCAAGGTCTTTAGGATGATTGATGCATAGGAGAAATGAGACCCTGAGCTGCAATCAAGCTCAAAACTAATGCACTTATCAGTTTTTAAAAACTAATGTGAGACTAAGTTCTTGTAACCAGAATATAAATATTTCTAGGGAGACAAACAAGAGGCAAAGTGAGTTATCCATTTATTTCCTTGCTTGCTTAATAAAACCATGCACCACTTGCAGTATTACGTAAGTACTGACAACTAACGGATATTGTTGTAAGTCACCAGCAAACAATCTTTTTACTGTTATACATGCTGTCATATTATTTTTGTGAGAGGGCAGAGACAGTTACAATTAGCAAAAGAAGTGTCAGGCAAGTAAATTAGTTGCTGTTTGTTCTTTTGACACTTGGTTTTCTTCGAACAAGTTAGAGAAACTGTGAGAGCTAATTGCAAATGGCCATTATCAAGAGTTTTCCTTCATGTTGCAGGCAGCAGGAGAAGATCTGTTGCATTCTAGATCAAATAGGGACAGGGAAGCATCACAAATCTCTCTAAACAAGACCCAGTTAAAACTCTTCAGTTAAGTAAATGATTATGGAAGTGCTTCAATCTCTTTGAAGGTAATAGAGTATCTTCCAGAGCAGATTACAAATCCTTTCCCTCACTGCCACCTTCCCCTGTCCCAAGTCCATATATACCTATTACCTGCAACTAAACTCATCTACACTTAATTTCATGTGGCATCTCTACATATCCCCCTTTCCCAGGAAACTTGGGAACAATGAATTTGATGTTCCAAAGTCCCCTCTCATTTTTCAAAGATGTTTTTTCTTCTTTTTTTACTCTTGACACCTTTAAAATATTTGCAAAAGATTTTCAAAATTTATCTTACCAAGAGAAACAGATGTTTCTCATACCCTTCAGTGCAGATGACTATACATAGACAGACACTCACAATTAAACTTACTAATACTGTATTGTATGAAAATGCTAACTCTGAAAAATACGTGTGCCATTTAAAAAGTTCAGCATATGTAACACATTACTGAGAAGGTTGGTCACATTTCCTTTAAATATCTCATCCAAGAAACTGCATAGATTGATTCTTAATTGAAACCTGGGAATGTCTTCGTTACACAAAATAGTGTATTCTGGGTTTGGTACCTAATGTTACAGATTTGATCTCCATAAATAATTTAAAGCAAAGCTTAATTTCGTGTAAATCGCTCTGCGCTTTCTGATGGATTATGCATCTGATTTAGTCACCCGAAGTTGGATGAATCTTCTCACAGAAGAAAAAGCAAATGGGGAGGTAACAGATCAGAAGATAAAAATAGAGAGTTAACATTCATTTCATGATACCACCCAAACCACTAGAAGTTCTGCATCAAACATCTCCATGTTCTGTGTACTTTCAGTAACATCTAAGCATACACTGTATGTACAGTTAGCCAGTCAAAAAGCACAGGGACTGCACAAATAAGTCCTCACTATCAACCCATACAGTTCTGTCCAGATAATTGCATGGGAAGCTCAAAGAAAAGTACACGAATTGCATTAAAATGCTGTTATACGTCAACAGAGCAGATTGGATACAAGAAGAGGTAGCGTAGGGGTAACATGTAAAGTCTGCAGGAACTTGCTCTCAATCCAGTGAATACATTCAAAGGACAGTGTCCTTAGTGTCTGTCTTTTGGCAGGGAAGAGGACATTATCCAATTTGAAGTAAGGCTGTGGTTTGAGAAAGTACCATTTCAGACAATGGACAGATATAGTGGAGAACTGAATCTTAAGGTATATAAGCACATAGATGACACAGTGGAAAGAGAAGGCAATGCCAAGCAAAACAAAACATCACAGGGGATGCATGAGCCCTATTGCTATTAAGCCAACATCAAATCAATTCCTGATCTCAAAGACTTAGATTAGATAAATGAACTAAAGAAAAAGGCAGTGCTGGTTCAAAGGGCAAAATACAGAACATAATTGCTCCTCAACCTCTTTTGGAGATGTGTGGTCAGGAATTCGTGTCTACTCACGTTCTGTAGCCTCATTTTTGCTCTTACAGCAATAAATAAAAACCAAATATCACTTCGGATAGGAAGGTTTCCCCTGGGGATTTCAAAGTAATTTATGGGATAATTAAGGCTACGGACACATAGAGAATGAAGCTTGGGGCATAAGCCTGGAGCAAATTGCACCATAATACCTGTGTACAAATGAGCAAGCTGTGCAGTTGAAAGCAGTCTCTTCATTGGAAGATAAGCTTTTAAATGTGTGATAAAATTAGATTAGTCAAGAGGTAAATCAATTCTTTCTGAGGTATCCTAAATTTCTACTAGAGAATGAATCATACTTTTACAATTTTTAAAAATCTGGACAACTTGATTTTATATGCCAATGACCTGTTTGAGTGTCCATAATCTCAGTCTCAAAATCTATCTTTTAAGTTGTGTAGAAAAGTCATGGAAGAGACCATTGGAATTTCCTCCTCTACATGCTCAACTAGGAAAAAATTCTTTTTTTTTTGTTTTTATTTTTTCCAATAGATAAAGCTATGCATACTGCATACGTAAAGCCAAATGCATGGTAAGGCATGACCATAGGACTGATCTCTAAATTTATGCAGAATGAATAGGAAAAATAAACAGGTTTTAAGCAAGGCAGTAGGACTCATTTTACTCCATGAGCGATACATAACT